ACCACCCACCGCCAACTCTTGGGTTACTCTTTTACCAACAAATAGTGGGATTGACCTTCACATTATAACGCCCCCACGGCTGAAAGGGCGAGCATGTTCAGTGGGACGGGGATTCGAACCCGCGACCCTCAGATTGCGAGTCGAGCGCCTTATCCACCTGGCCATGCCGGGCCCTTTTGTTGTATAAATAAAAATTGTTTCATTGTGTTCAAACCTTTGTCTAGTCTCTTTATCAGCTTTAGTTTTAGTCAAAGTTGAGAGAAACCAGGTTATGTAAATCCTCCCCCTTATTCCCCAAATACTCAAGTGGAAACTGAGAATACCACATACCCGACTCTCAATTATCACTATAACTATTAAGTACACACAAAAAAAACTCCTTTTACTCGACTAAAACTTGTTAATCTGAGCGAGCTCTACTACCCTTCTTCGATTGTAGTGAATTTTTCATTTTTCAGGATTTACTAGATGACATTCACCTTCAGTTTGAAACCTAATATTTGTGTAAATAATATTTCACTCAAATTTCCTTGAAAGATATCTATATAAATATATCCAAAAATGAATTCAGTCAAGAAAAAAAAAGAGGAACATGATTTTGGAACAAACTATATTCTATCAGAACGTCTTTTGTTAAGATAGTTTGTTCCACTGGTTGTAGTTTTCTTTCTTTCTTTTAAAGTATGGATGTGTTTTCAGAGACTTTTAGTGGTCAAAAGTTGGGTCTGTGACCAGTTGCTACGTCCATGAGAACTTTAAAAAAATTTACCTGTATCTGCAGTAATAAACTGGGACACCTGTTGCACTTTTGAAACCAACTGCAACGCCTTTTCAATGTCCTCCGCAGATGTCCCCCTATTTTGGCAGTTTTCTATCAAATGTTCAATGCTGCCCCTCACTTCCTCAAGTGTTGTAGCTCGCTCACTCGGTGACACCTGTAGCAGCTGTTGGTGTGGACATGAAAGTAAGGTGCTCATTGCCAACTGAATTATTGAATGGATATCATTCTGGCATGTCTTAAGTTTCTGAATTCTTGCTTCTTCCTCTTCTTTGGCTCTAAAATGTACCAATAAGCATAATTAATAATCAATGTTCATCCCAGAATGACTCCAATAATCATTCAAATTCTCATGAACAACAAAAATGTAAGCATTTTTTTGTCGAAATTAAGTAGTCCCTATTAAAAATATCTTCCTAAGTTTAATAATGATTGCAAAACATAAGACCACTTGTACAGGCCTAAGTAAATGCAAATCTATAAGCCTGAAAAGCGATTAATAGGACAGCAACACACAGCTCTTCACAATCCTGAAAGTGGCCCAGCAGTAAATCTGACGGCCTATAATGCTAAAAACCAGGTTTCAATACCTGTGGTGGGCAAAGCACAGATAGCCCATTGTTTAGCTTTGTGCCGAAAGACGAACAAACAATCCTAAAAATGGTTTTCGAACACGGAGTTTGAGTATGTCATAATCAAAATTGTTATAATATAATGAACTCGATGCTCCATAGTCATTAAAACCAAGAATAATGAAACGAACTCGGCATGAAATAAATGGGAAAGTTTTGAGAAAATTATTATTCCAGAGTATTATACCTTAATAGTTCTCAAACTTAATTAAACTTAAAGTTACATATGAACATTTGACATTTTGGAAATATACATATTACACCTTAACAGGCATCATCAGGTAGAACAATTAGTTGTGAAATATTGTAACCATAACTATTGTACTCTGAATATCTGACAATAAATAATTCTAAGTTTTATATAAAAGGATACTTCCTTTATTTTATTTCATAAACTTCACTTCTTTTCTGTATTAACTATAATCTGATGATGTAGAACAGGTCTAATTTTTCTAACACTTTCTGTATAACAGTTCATAACCTTTCACCAAAAGGTCATTTTACCTTCTTTTCCTTTCTTCTTCAAGTTGCTTTTGTCTTAGTTCAGCTTCTTTTATTTTAGACTTTAGTAGCTGTAAAGATTTAAATACATAAATAATGCTAACAGTTTGACAGTGACATGTTCTAAATATTCTTACTTAAATATTTTAAGTCAAATATTTAAAAAAAAATAACTGTTTTTGAAATTAGGGTAAAACGATAATAAATTGACAGATCTAAATAAAAACTTTTTTCAGCTTATTTTCTGTGATATTTCACGTAGACACCCTTCATCAGCCAAAAAAGATCTCTTGCAACGAATCTGTTTCCAAAGGGGCATCCGCCTGAAAAGTCGCACAAAATAAACAAGAAAAAGTTTTCATTTATCATTTATCCAAGTTTTGTCTTCTCGAGTCTTGTGGAACAAGTATTTTAAAAAGTAAATAGCTGACGTGCAGTTACTTTTATAAGGTGTCAAAGAATCATTTTTACCCCCCCCCCCCAAAGGTGACCTTTTTCCTGCCAAATATTATATTCATGTCCCCTAGTCCTACCATTCTCACCATTAAATATGAAAAAAAAGATGGTGCATAAACACTATCGATTTCCTCGACAATCTTAAACACCTCAATCAGATCCTCCCATCTCTTCATTTTTCAAGAGAAAACAAGTTCATAGATCTTAACCTGTCCTCATATGACAAGTTTTCCATCCCAGGTATCATCGTAGTAGCCCTATTCTGAACCTTTTCCAACAATTCAATTCCCTATCTAAGACAACAAGGTTACAACTGAACACATTACTCCAAATGTGGCCTAACCACTAATCTATACAATGAAATTATAACCTCTTTAATTCCAATAACGATAGCTTTACAGACATTTCGCTACATAACAACACATAACCACCGGGACTTACTTTAGCATGTGTCTCTATTCGTTCTTTTAATTCTTCTTGTCTTTGAGATATTTCTTTGATTCTGTGTAATTTACATAGATAATGAAAAGAAAAAAAGGCTATTTTAAACAAAAGACTCGCAAGTTAAGTTAAAGATGGCATAACTACCATCAATTATAATTATCATCTGGCTAAAAAAAAAATAAGGACTTAACTTACTCAAGCAGCCACAAGTACAGAGCAGTTGTGGAATGTAAAACAACAGATGTATTTGATAATACATGTATATAAGAATAACCTATATCTTACCTATTTCTTTGAGTCCATAATAACCACATCATTAAACTCATCAATATCTGCTACACACTTGTAAAAAAATCACTATCAGCACGTGTTATTTGACGTATCAGTATGTATCGTGTGTAGCCTTAACAGAAAAAATGCAGTGAATCAGTCAATGCACACGTGTGTGTGTATATATATGACTTTAAGGTTACAATTGGAAATTACAATGGACTTTATAAAATAACTTTAAGGGTTATCTTATATTAAGTTCATTATCATTCTATGACAGTAATTTTAATCACCTATTAACAACTCATGTAATTAATATGATAATAGTTTTCATTATATATACAGATAGATATCACAATTCAAAGTGTATTTACGGGTTTCTATAGAAGAAAATATTCTTTACAAATATTAACAGATTTCTAATTATACAGACCTATATTAACAATAAACATCATGTAACAACAACAAAACGTACGGAACATATGTATATTTTATTATCCTGGGATCTAATGAACTTCTTTTACCCTTGTTCGGCTTCATTCTTTTGTTTTTCAGCTTCTTTCTGCTTTGCTAATTCTCTGTTCCTAGCAAGTACCTGGAGATGTTGTTCTACTTCCTGAGCACATAACTTAGAATACTGCTCTACAGTTGCTTGACGAGCTGTGACGACTTCCTGTTCAAAGTAATGTGAAACATAAGTTGTTGTTTTTCAGGTGAAACGGGTTTTATTTACACGAAAAGACCATCTCATCCTAAGTATGTACCTAACAACAGCAACCAGCTATAGTTTCATAAACATACGAATATAAAAATAAAAAGTTATCAGAAGGCAATTTCGTTCATCAAGTTCTCCTACTAATCATCATATCCAAATTAAATGTAATCCTTTACATTCATATTAAATTCTTAGAACTTAGAAAGGAAAGCAATGTAGAATATGTTATAGAATGTCAACCATATTACAGCCACGTTATCCAGTGTTGATAAGGCCTTTTGCTCAATACCAGGGCTCATCAGGCCATCTGGGATATGAAAGATACAGTGGTATAACAAATGTTCACGAACAATTGTTACAGTGTGAACTAAATTAAGTAGGTGAATTAATTTTTATTCATTAATTTTATTATTATTCTGTTATTTGAATTAACTTCACTGGTTAAAATATCTCAAACAATACACATCATAAAATGATGCAAAATATTCTACAAACTTGTAAGCCTAACTTTGGTAATTTTGTCGTATGAAAAATTCAAAGACTTAAATTTACTATCCTTACTATTTAAGTTTGAACATCCTAACTTTTAATTTTTTTAATGCCCGATTAAAATTTTGTCAAACTCTTCCACACTCTGCAGAAACAAAACGAAAGCTTTGAACTGTTCTCAAACCAAGAACATTCTTATACTTAAACTTTTCAATACTTCCACCACTATGATACTAAAACTGGGTACAATCCTCCAAATGAGACCTCACCAGGGTGTGAAGTTACAATACCCTCCATATTTTAAATCAAAAGTTCACATAATTATAAAAAAAAATCTCTTTGATGTTTTAGTTCATCTAATCAAAGAACACTGAAAAAAACAACATTAAATTTTAAATACTCCTTGCAATAATATAATGATACACTAGTAGATTGGATAAAAAACATGAGCTCTGTAAAATTGTCTCAGGCTCAGACACAAATAGTAACCAAAAACTGGGATCCTCTTTGACGTAAAGTTGCTGATAATTGTTTCTCACAAGCTTTCAAAATAAATTGAAAGAAAGAACAAGCGTGAGGAGAGAGAGATCTACTTTTGTAAAATTAACAACACGATTCTCACCTTCACTTTTCTAGTAACTTCCTTTTCATACTCTACCACAGGTACTTCTGAGAGCGAGTAAATAGCCATAAGATGAAGGTCATTAAAACTGTCTTTTTCAGATGGAGATGATGGCTTAGAGCCACTGTCTACTTTGGGCTTTTCAGGCTCTACGTGGCATATATCAATTTCACCACTCTGTTTCTTCTCTTCAGAAACGATTTTTTTTGGACTTAGAGAAAGCGAACTAAGATTGGTCGCAATGCCATTCAAAATATTCTGAAATAAAAAGGAAGTATGTGTCACTAAAACTTTTTTTTTTCACTTGTTCTCATAAATGTAATTCTGTTTCAAAATAAATAATATTTAAACCTGTGTCTTATTATATGTTGTTTTAAACTCAACACAAAAAAAACATATAAAACTTACGAACAGAAATTCCCCAAACACTAATACGATATCTATTAAACTCAACCATACATTTTTAGTTCATCTTAAACCCTATCAGGACTAAAAATTTAAACGTTTTCATTTACATTTGCTTCTCATCAATACCCACATAATTAACGAGTTGAGACAGGCTTGAAAAATGCTGTTTTCTTCAGTATTACATCAGACTCTCAAAAACATCCCTAACCTGATCTGAATTGTGAAAGATTTGTAACTAAGTCATCTATTTTTATGCTTCTGGATCAGATAAAACAAACTTAATAACTCTTCACTTGCTAAACTATACTAAACAAATCTATTGTAATTTATTTGGTCTCATAGTCTCATCTTACACAAACAAATAACCACAATCTGCGAAATCCTTTTTACTCTTCTTGAAATGTTTTCTAACTATTTTTTAACTAGAGTTTTTATACTGGAAAAGTATAAATTAAGGGCAGTTTTCATACACTTATACAGTGCTTAATTTTACTTGGTAAAACACCTGAAAATGGCACTTTGTGTACATAAATTGTCAAGTTATTTTTGTTAATTACGTATATTCTGTTCTTACAGTTCTTAAGCCTATACGATTATAAATGTTGCATAAAAAAAAGTCATTCATTCGAACATTTCTTTAATTAGTTCTGCTGTACCTTTTATTGCCACAAGAAATATTTGTGTCATATGCAAATTCTAGTGAATAACCTTTGGCTCTCTCTTTTTTTTATATTATTACTAATTACTATTATTATTACTTTAATATACTTAATGCCTAACATCCTTCTTTCTAATCAAAGCAAAGATAACATACTTATATTAAATCAATGTAAAAACTGTTTTCTATCTATTAAATATCACTGTACCCTGCATACAACAAAAAATTATTGTATTTCATAAATATTAATGTTATATCAAGATATTGTATCAATAAAACACTAAGTCATACATTCATTAACTGTTATATCGAGATATTGTATTAATAAAACACTAAAATCCTTTTCTTCCAAAATATTGTTAAGATTATTCCCATTACAATTATATATATATACATACTGGTTATAATAAAATATCACGATATTAATACTAATAGTCATTCAAAGAATGTGTTTAAAACTTGTATTTAAACATTCATATCTAAAACGCTTTACTAAATTAGTAAAACCTACCACTGAATACCAGTAAGACTGCCAATACTCAGCTTTAGACTGTATTGTATACACTGATAAAGTACTACTTACTGCCTGTTACACTATATTGTTACTGTAATTTGTATACAGTACTGTATACTAGTATAGTGTTTACGTTACCATAAACTACAGTTAGTTTAATTTACTTTAATTTTTTTATGGCCAATGTTTTACTTCTTCAAGTTATTTTATTACTATTAGCCGTTTCTCTGTCGCTAAGTTTAGTATTATAAGAATTTTAAATAATACTTTTTAATATAAATTATTCACCTGAGCTCTTCCTTCTTGAAGCCAATTGCGGTCATACTGTAATTGTCCTTTACTACTTTCACGAAGTGAATCAATTAAAGTTCCCACCATTTTTTGGTGTTGAATCTAAATTAGTTACTGATACTGTGAAATATTTTTACGACATAAAGATACCGTGAGATACGTAAGCCAAATCCCCCTTACGACCAAATTCTGTACGAACTATGAACAACGATAAATATTGCGGTAATCAGACGTGTATTATTTACACAACGACCACTCAAATTCACACTCTCCGTAAAACTAAAAAGTGCCCTCTCACAAAATTGCCTTGCGAAAAAAATCGTTTCAAAGGAGATTTTGTAGCAAATATAAATTAACAATTACTCAAGCAAGTGAAGATTAAATTTTGATTGTGTGTTAAATAAAGGTGAAATTATAACTTTATGGTGATTGTGGATTTTTCATATAGAATTTTACCATTTATTCAGCATAATTTGGATCAGTTATTCATAAATAATGTTTGCTTCTAGTAAATAGTTATATATTGCATAAAAGTATCCATAGTTTTCTACAGAATTGTATTGTAGCATTCTCCGGTGTTGGGCAAATTCTTTTGAATTATTCGGTAAAAAGAAGAATGCAAGTCCCATTCCATTTAATGATAACGAAATTGTTTTATTTCTTGAACTTCAAGTTTTGTAAGTTAAATTTACAAATTTCGCACAAGATCTACTAGTTGTTACGTCTCCGTTTGTTAATTAACTTTCCGTAACTTTGTTCCAACGAAACTTTAACGACACAAGTCT